GGGCACGGGGGCCGCATAAAGCCCCGGAGAGCAGGGAGGGGAGGCGGAGCCATGACAGAGCACCTCAGTGGTAACATGGCAGCTGGTGGACTCGAACCTGAAGCCTTCCAGACCCAAGTCTACTTCCTTAACCAACCTAAGCCACCACTGCCAGCTAAGAGTTCGCTGAGTTCATTTTCTCAGCTAGTCCATTTCATTTGGTCAGGGTTAAAAAGGCCATCTGAATTCCGACGCAGGGAAATCTAACCCAAACATAAGAGTGATGCGGTGCCGAGCGAAATCCTGGGGTAGAAAAAGCAAAAGACAGGCAGACCAGAAATGTGGATCTGAAGGTTAATATAAAATCAGCATTCTTCTTAAATGTCAGGATCTACACGTCACCGTGACGTCATCAGAGAACCTGATGAAACAGCGCTGAAACACGGAGCAGGTTGTTGTTCTAACACCGGAGCCTCAGAAACACTGGTGATCTGCTGCAAAACCACAACTGGTGAAAAAACTTCCAACAGCAGCAGCGCTGCTGAGAGTCCTGAGGAAAAAAAGTGGAGGAAAACACACAGTAAAGTGAAGTGAAACCTGATATCAGACTGATCTCACAGTCACATGGGTTTTATCTAATGCTCCAGAGCTGTAATGCACTCAGGGTCTCGGGGGAGCAGTGTAATTTACATTAGGCCCACATCTGAGTGCCAAGGTTCTAAGGAACATACTGGAGTGAAGTGACTGTTCAGAACCAGAGAGAAAGAGAGAGAGAGGGAGAGAGAGAGAGAGATAAGAGCATTCAGGGACCTATGTTAGACTGAGAGAAAAGAAAGAAAGAAGACGGCGAGAAAGACAGTCGGACAGTCAGTCAGTAAGACAGACAGACAGACAGACAGACAGTCTACCTGTAGCTGATCTTCTTTTCTCTCCACTTCTGTCCTGTCAGTGCGTAGCGTTTGTTCCTCAATGGTCTGCTGCTGTGAGGAAGATCAGGAACGCCACAGCGAGGTCTCCTCATCCACCTGAGACACACACACACACAAAAA